ACATTGGGAAACTTCTTGGCCGCAGCCATAAAAGGCATATACTCAACAAATAACTCTTTACAAATTTAAAAAACAAGACTCCTACATTATACTTAATATATTTTGCTGAATATTTAAAGATATATTTTAGCCCTTATTTTAAAATATAACTGATGTGTTTAACCGTTAGTCTTGTTATTCTTAAATGTCGAGTAAATTAGTTACATTGACCTGTAACTATCACTTATTTTTCTGCACAATTTTAACTAAATTATTCAAATTCCACTTCTGGAGTTTATTCAGTTAAATGAGTGAAAGCAAACAGAGTGACTTATTGAAAGGTGGTCATGCACCGGCCGAAAAAATCGCTGGTGGTGTAAGGAGAACTCGGAAAACGCGACTTACTTCGGAATCCGAGAGAAATCAGGCGAAGAAATTGGAAGAACAGGATGCATCACAAGAAGGTTTCGGTGAAGAAATGGAAGAGCAGTCGAAGAATGTGCTCGCACACAGTGGTCTGGTTGCAAAGGTAGTGCAATTTAGTATTTCCTTTATCACTTGGAGATTTCGTTGCATTATCAATGGATTCATTACCTCTATTATGAGTGTGGTTACAAGTGGTCACTGCTCAAGTAAACAATAGGGAAACATTTTCTTGCGTTACTGACATTTGGTTTTTCCAGACAAATAAGGATTATCCAGAAGAGGCAGTTCGCGCTTATCATGATAAGCAGGTACCACAGCTCCACAAGCCAACAAAACCGAATGTAACTCTATTCCAACCTACCAAACAATAAGAAAATTGTACCAGTATCCATTCAAGAACCCTATAATTTACTTTTCTAACACTGTCTGATTTTCACTACACCACATTCCATGTTGAAAGAAACATAAGGGGCTTTTTTGTGTGAAAAAAAATGAAAGTGGGAGTGAAGAACTGCTTTAAGATATTGTATTGAACTAATACAGGGAGTGCAGGAATTTATTACAAGGAAAGCAGAAATATTAATAAATAAGAAAAGAGTGGAAACGCGTATTTACTCGAAAATCGGACATGTTCCCTGACATCATGATTAAAAACTGCTTGATAATGATGTTAAGGGACATGGTGATTCATCATTCTCTTCGTTTCCTTTTCCCTTTTATAATTGTACATATTTAATTGTAATCATAAGCTTTTTATAAGATTTCTTCATAAAAATAAAAGTTTCTTATGTGTTTCATTCACTATTTTACTTTCACTTTATGGATATCCCTTGGTTGCTGGTTTACTTTGCACGTTAATGCTGAGGACAAATACCTTTCGAAAATCTTAATTTACTCTACACATTTCTAAACCCAACATCACAGCGTCAACTCATTTCACTGTTCAGTATATTACGGCGTGAGTAAAGGCCTTTTTGTCTTTGTTTTCTTTTACGGTGATGGAAAAGGTTTCTACAGTATGGTAAAATGTTCAGCAATGAATTAACTATAAACGTCAAAAAACAACGTTCGCAATTATCAATACATGTATATTAAAGAAGAGCTGTGCTTTACAGTATTGTTATCGGTTTTAAACCCGCAGATCATATAATTTAGCCAAAAGTGATCTTGCCCGCTAATTTCACAAAAAGTGATTTGAGCTAAAACTGTAATATATTCAAGTATAACATACTAATCTAAAGAGAAATTTCGCATTATGATCTCAATTTTTTTTCTAAAACCTGCCAATTCTCACTCAACGACTTCTTTTTCTGAGGATCTTATCGATCGGCATATTGCAAGCAATTTCTCGATCGCTACCAGTTTCACGCCACTGTTGTATGCTTCAGTTAAGGATGAAGTGCGATATTTCTACACTTGATATATTTAAAAAAAACAAAAAAAAAACGCACTAACTTTGATACCATTTTTGTTAACCGTTAGAAAGTTCGCCGCTCTCAGGGCTACTTTCGCTACTTCAATGACTTCATGATCAATCGCCATCGCTATGCGATCTACTAGATGGGTATTTTCGGTAATCAATTCCATACACCGTTGATCTGTTGCAACATTACATACCAGACGAAACACTTCGCATTTCACCTCCATTGGTACTTTCGGACCGCTTTCCAACAAACGAACTAAATTTTTTGACATTTTGTGAATTTAATCAAAATGCATAAATGAACTTAGAAGACACTGCGCATTTTGCTCTACCTAGTTGTTGCCCCAGCAGATAAAATTAGCAATGCCGAGCACTTCAGGCTTACAAACATGTTTGGAATTTTTTCCATTTTTTGAAATGGTCAATATATATTCCGAAAGCCTAGTTGAAGTATAATGAGAATTCGTAAGGTTTGTGTCATTTTATCCACAAAATCCGGAGCGTGATAAACTAAAGTACTTCAAATTTTAAGTAATTAAAAAATAAACAAAGCGAACTTCAAATATACCTGCAATGTTTGCAAAGTTTCCGGGCGGTTCGGCCAGCTGTAATGTATTAACAGTAGAAAGTTGTTTTGAAACGTAAGAAGTTTAAACTTCAGAAAAGTGCAAGTCCATGAAATTTACATAAATCATTAAATGAAATCAACCTCGGAGCATAAGGATGGTATTGTTCCGTAGATATTTGTCAAAATACGCAGAACATCATACAGTATCTGCAACCATTGTGGCCTGCAAATGAGAAAAAGTTGCATTAATATTTGGTATCAGGTTTCTAAGTACCATCTATATGCAAGCTCAGCAACATTTAAATATATCTGATTTAATTAAGTGAGGAAAATAAACACAAGAGATTGGTATATCTCTAAACAATGTCAGTTATCCCTGTATCTTAATTGCATTTCAAGATATGCTGTTGTGTTTCAATGCTGGAAAAGCTTTATTTTTAATCATTATTGATGGAAAGATGACTGAACATGGGAATTAAAACAAAAAAAAAATTGAATACTCATAACCTAAATTTGATAACTCCATTTGGATTGATAAATACCGTATTTTTTTTAAATTTGATTTCAGCGAAGCTATAACAGTAATATAAGATTGGTTCTTTAAAGCGATAATATTACAGTGATTCTTGTTTGCATTGCTCCAATTTATGCGTTCACGAAACAAAAAAGAAAATTTACTGATCATCGAAATTCTGCAGGGAACATTTCCATAAGACAGTCATCAATGTAACTCCAATTCGTGGGCAATCCTTTACTTTTGATTCCAGTGCATCGACCTTTTTTATTTCCTAAAAATTTCTACGGTTCATATTAATCAAATTCGAATTTTGAACTACGTTATGTTAAACATCTTACTTTTACAGTTCTACCAATTATGGCAAACAAAGTATTTCTCCAATTCCATAAAATAGCTATCAACTATCATAGGCAAAAATACTCAATGAAGTGTCGAAGTGCCTAGACATGCCAATCCGGTATAAATACTTTCCTCAACAATATCAAAATTTCTAGAAAATCAATTAAAATCCAGAATCCGAATTAACCTTACAGGAAATGACAGAAATGACTAAATTAATTTTCAATAATGATCGAACCTGCCGTTGATTAATCAAATGATTTAACCTAACTCGAAAACCTATTCGAGGGTAAGTTACTGCCAATAACTGAAGTATTTCTGGGACATTCATTTAATACACTACTTGCATATGTTTTGGATGATTCTCGTTCTTACTAACGAAATTGAAACAAAAACGCGAACAACCTTGAAGTCTAGCAAGATATTCTTAATTTGTTTCAAATCATCGCCTAAAAGTATCGCCTCTGTCTCATCCAACTCTTCCGTCTTTCGCCGCTTAGGCTTCGATGCCATTACATATATTATACCCTAAAAGTCGATAATATCATAATTTAAAAATATAATACAATTCGATAAATCTCCTTGTTTAGGAAGTGCGCAAGGTACGGAAGACGTTATAAAGGCAAGCATGAAAGTACGTATCAAATAAGAGAAGGGCGTGAAAAAAAAAAATTACAGTAAGAGCGCGAATGCAAGCGTGAGCGAGTTTAGCGGATGAAAAATATGAGAGAGCTACTCTCATATTTTTACATGAATATTTGCCCTTATGACGCTTTTAACACAAAGAAAGCTTGCCAAAAGATTTGACATGCAGAGCTGCTAATAGAACAGTGCAGCACATAATAAGGTCAAAAGTTCAAGTGAATATATTATTAATGCAGCGTAGCACTAGGATAGTAGTGCGATATGGGATAAAATCGATGCAGTACAACAGATGATCGTACAGAAAGTGCAGGACAATATATGCGAGGAGTGCACGGCAGCGGACTGTCAAATTGGATGCACTTTTACAATGCGGACAAAAAATGACACATCCTGTTATAAAAATTTTCAGTATTCAAATAAGCGAAAATTTTCTGACCAAAAATGGCAAGAAAACACCATGGGAGAAATGAACAAAAGCGTGAAGAATGTCAACGTTATGGACACGATTTCTGCTGTGAATTTTAAATTTAAACCTTTAAAAATTTCTTAACGTCGCATTAAAGTGACAACAAATGTCCTTTTTATGCTGTTACGAATTGAGAGTGAATGCAATACTTTGAAATATTCTGGGGAATTATGGAATTCAAAAAACTGCATTTCGGTTTAGCAAGGTATTGCATAATGAAAGTATTGTATAATGTTTAATGAAGTATAAGCAAAGTGGCGCAGTGTAAAATCATGTACTGCATCATCACGTTGCATTTGGTTGTGATTCACTTCCAATTCATATCATTTATCGTAATGCAAGCATAGCATGCAACGTGAACTGAAAAAGTGAACTGACGTATAACTAAATGATAAAATATTGGAACGATATATGTTAAGTCAAGCAAACATATGTCTACATTTGCGCTTAATTCTGCAAATTTCATGCAAATCGTAACCTCGATAATTAATACTGAACTACGTGCCCGTGCGAAATGGAAAGGTTCAATAAGTTTTCAAAATGAGCATTCAGAAATTTTTTAAATTTGCAAGTGCAACAATAAGTGCACATATGTATGTTCGATGTGGACCGTTAACATGCATACAGTGCATGTTTATTTTATTACGTACTACTTCAAGCACTGTTGTTATTATTCAATTTACAGCAAACATGCAACTAATAAAACACACATGCCAGCATATGTCTTGCATTCACGCGTACAATTATCAATACATTTTATGTGCCCACACATAAACCCACGTACGTCCACGAAAATATGTACTTACACAAAAGCACACGTACGTACGTACCCACACGTACGCATACTAATGTGCACACATACACCTACACAGATGCGTTCAGAGTATCTTTGCAATGGCTTATCGATCCAATCGGGACGACACACCGCCCCCCTCGCACACACACATACACCCGCAGAGAGCATTGCAGCTAAATTCAAATTACCGCCAAGTGCTCGCGACGCGAGACATCTGCTTGCAACTGGATGCGATGCGTCTCGCGTTTCTGTACGATATGCGCGAATGGTTCTTGTGGTTGGCACTTATTGCTCCCGTGTACTGCGAGATTTTATTGCGTAAATTTGACGTAAACATTCATAGAAAGTTAATACTGGGGCACGTCATTTTAACGGAAAAATTAGTTACATGCGAGCGAGTAGGTAAGCGAACAAACGGGCCAGGAAATGTTGACGGGGTCGTTTTATCTTCGTCAATTTATCGGATTTACGTTGTGTTATGTAAGGGCGAGTGTATTTAGATGAAATTGTAAGTGACATTGCAAACAGTACCACCACAAGTGGTCCGATATGGTAACAACCGGGGAAAGATTCCCCGGAATGACGGGGAATTATGTGGGGAATTTACCTAACATCAATCGTAATTCGTTAATCGGTGGTAATAGACAATGATGTGTACGATGAAGTATGAAATAAGATTCACTTCCTTTACAACTTAATTGATATTTTTTATAGCTATTCGAACTGTTAAGACAATAATTTCAGGTTCTTTTGCGTCATACTGAGCTAATTTATTATTGTGTGGTTGTTGGTGGTAAAAACTATATTTTGAAAGTCAGATTTATATTAAATAAATACAAGACTGATTAAAAGGGTACAAGCAGTGTAAGAATCGATCGCGAACCACAGATGATCCGCGAGGACTAAAATATGGTCTGCGAGGGATATTAAAAATTATACGCCTCTTTAATATTATGATGTCACGTCTGAGTTCAACTAATACGTAAAAAGTTTTGATCAAAGTTTGTTTTCAAATTTGACAGAATTTATTATTTTCGAGTTTTGTGGTGGTTGAAAAAAATCAAAAGTGGTCCTTGATCAAGAAAAGATTTGGGAACCACTAGACTAGAGGTTATACCAACCAAATGAGAAAGGTTTTATATGAGATACGGTCGTATAGTCGGAAAACTATGATATGGAGGAATAGTTTTAGAGTGCTTTTTTGCAGGAAGAATACCACCATGAGTGGAGTGAAGCGTAAGATGTACGTGAAAGAGGAAATGTCATCGACCATCCCAAAGAAATATGGGCGACGTTCGCGTAATGTTAGGGAAGAATTGGATGACGTAATATCCTTTCCTTATATTCATTTTTCTTTTGATGGTGATTATAAGCGATTAGACATTTGTTTTCCATCCAACAAATTTGATTTGAGGAAATACTTGTATTGGGATGAACGTTTGTCATTCGCGTAAAATTACATAAATGATGTTGATTTTGTCTGTTAAAGAGCTGCTTATCTAAAATCTAATTAATTAAAAGTGGAAACAGTGACCGAAGAGGTTTGAAGTTTCGGATGTTGAGAAAACAGTAATGCCTTCTATGAACCTTATGTTTTCAGTAAATCGTGTATAAAGGTCAGTTAAACATAGGTAAAAAATCATTGTAGACTTAATGCTAGTGATAACTTGAGCAGAGGTTGAATAAATAATAATGAGATTTTGAATAAGTAGTAGAAATAGCAGGTGGTTAAATAATTGCTTCAAGTACGTAAAATGTAATGGAAATCATAAAAAAAAGTAAAGTGCTGAAATATTTGCTTCTTGTACATAATAATGTGAGTTAAGTTTTTCAGATATATCTTAGTGCTCCGTTGTTTCTTTTTAGCTTTAATTTTAAGTATTAATTGTGCAATTATTTGGAAACTGTGGGTAACTTGATTTCAATAGAAATAGGGAGAATGTATATTCTTAACTTCTTGGATTTAAATTTGGAATTTTGAAGGATAAATTGATAAATTTAGTTGCGGCAGTGTGCCGATTTGGTGGACGCTTTACGTAGTTACAGGACTGTCGATAATCGGATACTTTGTGAAAATTTCATCCGTGCACCATCGCGTCGGTATGGATTTTTGTTTATCAAAGTTTATGAAAATCCATAAATTTTAGCCATTTGAATAATTGTCGACTGAGATTGTTTTTCACCCACAATGATTTAAATGTTTGTTGTTGTTTTCAGCACGGATCCGAAATATTTTGACGTTGTCACGCATCCGATCGATTTGACAAGAATTCAACAGAAAATTAAAACCGAAGAATACAGCACTGTCGAGGATCTTTCTGCAGATATCCGTCTATTGGTCAATAACAATAAAGCTTACTATAAGGTTAAAAATTTTCTGTGAATTCCGGATTTAATCCGAATTTCAAGTCGATATTTCGATCCTTTATGTCGAGTTTTATGTCTTTCACAACTTAAGGATCAGATGGAACGATTCGACAGGATAGTATGATGATATGCTTTTTGAATCTGTGTTTACAAATAGCGTGATCAATCCAACGCTTACTGTACTAACCGTTGGGACAATCCTAATGACTCTAGAATACAGTATAAGATCTCTAACTCACCTTAAAATGCATGATTCAGGAAGGCAGTCAAGAGTACAAAGATGCTTGTGAATTATGGGAATTATTTGAGTTGCAGAGGAAGCAAATGCTTGGGAGTATTTCCGTCACAGAAATGGAAGAACGGTTCGGTTTTTTTCAATGTTTTTTAATACCACTAATATTGTAGAAATATTCTTGATGTCATATGAACGGATTGTTACAATTCTTCACAAAAATGAATTTCAAAATATGAAAATTGGCTGTTCTCAGCAACGATGACGATTTAATAGAGAGTGACGCGGTTTTAAGTTGGAAGTTTCCTAAAATAATTTTTGATATATGGAATTCTTTTGTTGGAACATGTAGTAAAGGTAAGAACTGTAATATTTTCTCAGCTTTTTAATGGTTTGAAATTTTCCAGAAGTATTATAATTATTACAGCCAAAAGGATAAGACACTTGAGACAAAACGCGATGGAGTTTCAGTTGATTTACTGGAAGAAATCATTGTCTGCACTTTGGAACTTACGGATGAAACCGGCCGATTGCTCAGCCCGCCTTTCCGTGTTTTACTCTCTCAAGAAGTTTGTTTTCGCATAGATTTCTATTTCTGTATAGATTACGATTTCTTCTTAATCCATTAAATTGAACGATAATTTATGATACTATGCAATATTGCTGTCAACGGGATTATGTTTACCAATAACTGACAGTCGTTACTTTTGTAAATGTAAAAAGTATCATTCGCACACTGTGTTTTTGTTGTTTCTGGTAGTGCACCCTTTGAGTTTTGAATGGGAATTGATTTAAGGAATTTCCTACTTATTATGACCGAATCAAAAAACCAATTGATCTCAAACAAATTGCGATAAAGATACGTTCCGGCGAATATCACACCTGGCAGCAATTTGATGCGGATTTTCGATTAATGTGTAGAAATGCAAAAGTCTTCAACGAATTGGGTTCGATGATTAGTAAGGTTTGTGCATTATGCAGTTTGTGCATTCTTTGGATTTTGTTTCGTCATTTATATCCATTAATAGCATCAACTATTTTATGAAGTTCTAAATCATTCGATAATGTTTTAAACAACAGAGTTTTTTTTTTTTTACCATATCAACAGTGGCAGTCAAATATTTAATGGTAGATTTATTTCGTACTTTCCCTCATGCTCGTGGAATGATTATGGCATTCCAAATACTAGTTTAACGCATGAAATTTGTAGAAGATTTAAACCGTGCGAGTCATCTTAACACCCTAAAGTTTTGCATCTGCGAAATTTTTGTTGTAGGATGCTTCTATGTTGCTGAAAAATTACATGAAACGTAAGGCAGAATTATGCAGTTCTAAACACAAGCCATTAACAATTAAGAGGTTAGTCCCTTGACTTTTTTTTTTAATTTTAATGTTAAGGGCTTTCTTTATGTGCAACATGTCCGAAGTGTAACAGAAGTAAGAAAGAAATCAATTTCAGGATCAACGCAAATAAACAAGTTCTGGATGAACTGTTAACACAGGATGCTACAGCTAATTCGAGCGAAGAATATTCCGAGGATTCGGAAGAAGATGAGGATTCGGAACATAGCAGTGAGCCGAAATGGGTACTGTACTGGACAATTCGTAATGAACCCAACCCATTTGATCGGGAAACTAATCTAGCAGATCCATTTTTGGAGCTACCCAGCAAAAGGTAGTTTCGAAATAAAGCTTTGCATAAATGTATACTTCCTAAATCTCTGTATCCGACACGATTTCCTCAATCTACAGCTTTTTTCATCAATAAAATTTTTGAGGAGTAATCATTTCTTGATTCGTTTTCTTGTAACTCTATTCATCTGCTGTTTGTTTACTTGCTGTTTTTCATTCGGATGATTTTAAAATGCGTCTTGACTAACTTTTTGACTTTTTAGCTGGTATCCCGACTATTTTGACGAAATTTCTGATCCCATGTCTCTTTTTATGATAAACAAAAAGCTAAAACGTGGTGAATATCGTACGCTGGAAGAGCTTCTGAAAGATATTGTACTAGTTTTTGAAAATGCCAAAACTTACAACGTTGAAGGTTCAGATATTTATGAAGCAGCAGCAAAGCTGGAAAGGCTGGCAAGATCAAAAGCTCGAACGTTGCAAAAAGTAAGACATCATTTTAATCCATATCATTATCATTGTCAGGACTCTAATTACATCAGCCTAAATAAAGAATTTAATTGGGCATATGTTTCACATCGATGTACTTTTGGAAGACCGATATTAGCCTTTATATAAAGCATACAGTTCTGTTAACTATGACGATCTTAATAGATCATCACTTTATATCGACAGTTACCGATAGCTACACAAGCTCTAGTTTCAAACTCAGAGTCAGGATCATCCAGTCATTAGACTTTGAAAGCTTTGAGTTTAAGAAACGGTAACCGACGGTCAGTGATGAAATATCGGCTGTTCCTCGACGAAGTTTAAATTGTCTAATCAAAGTCAAACTTGATTTAATACGTAGTAAGGTTCAAGTCTTTTTTTAGAACATTAAAGTAACCGAAGCTGAAGAAAGGATATCAGATAAAAGTACACAATCGCTGACTGTTACACGATCTGTCTGGAAGAAACTGCAGAAAATGGGGGGATCAATATCTACGCAAGCTACAACTTCAGGCCCAAAGCCAAAATCATTCGCTGTTCCATCATCGAACGTTGAAAACTCTGAGTTTAAAAGACGAGGAAGTGGCCGAGGATACAGTGGTGACATGTTAGCAGTTTTTCGGAGCAAACTGACAGTTTTATGGAACACTGTTTATGATCACATGGTAATTTTTCAAATATCGCACATAATCATTTATGAAAATCTTGGATTCACGTATTTGATTATTTGGTAAGACTACAAAGGGATTAATAATAAGTAGGGCAATCGTCAGTCCACTAAGTATTACTGATAGTGCTAAGTAACAGCGGTAATTTCGCATTAAAATTTTTACTTATCAGTGCGCAAAAATGAAAGAACTAATTCGCAGGATGGTAAACGACGTATTGCTACTGCTTTTATGTTCCTACCATCGAGAAAAGATTATCCAGAATATTACGATTATATTGAAAAACCTATTGACTTAACCACGATTAAACATAAAATTGAAACTGATCAGGTAGGATGATTTTTTCTCGAAACTTTTCAAGTCCTCTTTTGCTCTCGAAATGAATCCTCGCTTGCTTCTGTGGCATCGCTGTACATGGTGTATCCCATTTCCTTTAATGCGATTTCTGATGTTGAACTTACAACTTGAATAAATGTTCCAAGGAGTTTGTAATTAAATGTTCCTGGGAATGTTCTCTCCACGCATAAACTTTTGCGTTATGAGGACTTTTTTTCCCTTTTTTTTGAGGAAGAATATTTAGTGAGCGGCCGTAATGTAAGGTTGAAAATATAAAAGAATGAAACATATTTATGAAAGAAATATGACGTACAAGCGATAAATGTTGTTCTAATTTCCTTGTAAACATAATTTTTGCAATCCGTATTCGAAGGTTCATTTTGATTTCATTGCCATCCCGTTAAGTTGTATGATTTCTTTTTTTAGTTTCAGTCGTTTTTTCCTGGGAGTTAGTTTGGAAATGGGTTTCCACGATAATGCCTAAATATCGATTGAATTAAACAGCTTTTGTTTCAGTATACATCAACGAGTGATTTCATGAAAGATATGGATCTACTTGTCCACAACGCATGGGATTTCAACGAGCCTGATTCGCAAATTTATCGTGATGCTACAACACTACAGTCTCTTGTCCGCAATGCGCTTAGTGGAATTCCAGACTTGCCAGTCTGTAATCCCAAACATTGTAAAAGCAAAATTGGGTAAGCGGAATTTGCACTTGTCAAGTTATTTCTCGCTAGGTTTTACAGTTTAAGTTAGTCTGTATCTATTTAGTTCTTAGAATGTTAAGAATGTCTATATTTTCCAAGTCATTTGTTGTTAGCAAAAGTAATTTTGAATTGTCAATGGAAAAAGCCAGTGATAATTACTTTCAGATTAGTGAAGCCGAATTTAGCACCGAAGAAGCATAAAAATTATGGCAGTGGTGGTGAAAGTAGTAGATGTAATGATCTTGATTTTGAGGGTGACCTTTCTTGGTAAATACTTTCTTTATCTTTGCTATGTTAGAAATTAGACGTTAGTACATAAGGTAGTGAAGAAAGCACACTGGATGAAAAATTATTGTTATTAGGGAAGGTTCAAGATTAGTGTTACGGGAATAAATGCAAACAGGAAAAAATATGCCATTTCTAACCTTTCGTTAATTACTCAGTTGTTTATCTTTTTTTCCATTTTTCCTTTTTTGTTCTTTTTTTTTTCATTATTTAATTTTAGTGGCTCAAATGTGTCGGTATCCGAGGCCTTTCTTTCACATATACATCTTCCGGATAACCTTCGTTCCTCTTCACCTTCTTGTAGTACTTTGACGCCGACAGTATCACCTATGAATGCTACTAAAACAGGCCGTGGTATTTCGCGAAAAATGTTTGGGTCCAATTCTGAATTGGAATTTGATAAGATTAAATTGTACGAATTGTATAATCTTATAAGGAATCACAGAGATGAACGCGGGCGTGAATTGTCACTTCCATTTTTGCAGTTACCATCGAAATTTGTAAGTTTTAATTTTAATTGGCAAATACCGGACCTGGATGCAAAAAAAAAGATCAGATTTTACGTTTGAAAATATCAGTTTGTGGGAGATAAGGAAAACTATTTTTTCAGGATTATCCCGATTATTATGATGTAATCCGTAGACCAATTGATCTTACAAAAATTCGGAATCGGATCACATCAAATTATTATGATTCGACCGATGCCTTGATTAGTGATTTCAATTTGATGTTTGATAACGCTTGCCGTTATAATGAACCGGAGAGTATGATTTATAAGGTTTGATTTTCCTTCTTATGAGGTAATGGGCTTGAAAAGCCGTCATGCATGCAAGACATCAAAACCACGAGCCCAAAAGCCGTCATGCAGTCCTGTTTACTATGAACTGGTGCCATTGCATAACACTATGAGACAGGCATAGTATATCTTTTTCGACCACTCCAGGTCTAAGTAATAATAGCTTAGAGCCTTTCAGAATCAAAAGTTTCATTCACTTAAGCATTTAAATTTCAGGATGCACTTTCGCTGCAAAAACTAATTCTATTGAAAAAACGCGATTTATGCAAAGATAGCGCATCAGCAATAAATGTACAGTCAGAAGTTCAAGCTCTTCTTGCCTCAATTCTTATTTCAGTTAATAATCATCAGGTATTTTATATTCAGTGCTCTAGATTTTAAGGATTAACTGAAAAACTGAAAAACTTTAAGGATTGTCTATGAACATTAAGTTACACTGATGGAACGATTCATTCAGTCATGCTGATATTTCTTTATTCATCAGCATATTGAATTGCTCACATTGCTATAGGACTCTGATGGCCGGTGCTTCTCAGATTCGTTGGCTGACTTACCGGGAATGTTACGGAGAAAAGGGATTGATTCAGAGAACATTCCATTCTCCATCGATGAAATGAAAAGAAATGTAGATAAGGTAGTATCATTTTTTCTCCCTCTCTTTATTTTTTTCTCTTCCATTCATTTAAGTACTTTGAAATTAAGTTTGGCAGATTTATCTGTTTTGTTAGAAAGCTTCAGATTAGTATTTGGAAATATGACGGCAGGTTAAAACAGGTTAAAATATTGCATAGAATTATTGTTGGGGGTGAAGACTCATCAGTCAGTTTATCACTACAGCGTTGAGAACAGGCTAATGTTTCATGACGATTGGCATTGTTTTAGATGCCAAATTGGTTTTGCACTCTATACTGTAGTTGTACATTGAAATCTAATTGACTTCCAATTAGATTTCATTTCCACTCGATTAGTGCCATTAGTCCATGCAGGAAAGTCGATGCACGACTGCATCGAGCACTGAAATGTAGGCTACTAAGGAATATTGATGATCTTCCCCGGATATTGGATTACTTTTTCCTCAGCTCACATCTGAAAGTTTGGCGGAAGGATATCACTAAAAAATCCCAGAACTCCATTGTGCATTTTATTCTGAAATCCGAAGAAATTCCCAGAAACTTTTAAAAATAGAACTTCGTAAATGTGTAATTTTGCAGGGTCGTTATCGTCGATTGGATAAGTTTCAAGATGATCTCTTTTTTTTGTTCAATGTAGCGATGGAGCATGCCCATTCCGATTCTCAAGTAAGTTAAAAAGATGTGTTACGGCATAAAAACCTATTCAATCTTTTCGACGGCATGCGCATTCCTCAAAATTACTGTGTGCCTTACGTAGAACTACGACATGCGTAGCCGAACGTCGTGATGCTATATTTTAAGTTCAGCTGGAATTAATAAGAATAAATAATGGTTTTAAAGTGATTAACTGAACAAAAAATTTTTTCATATTTGTTTCATATTTTTCATTAAAATTTTTCATATTTAATTACCAAGTTTCGTTTGATACTGATTTGATTACTTCATATTGTGGAGAAGGAAAGTCCTTATCGGAAAACAATGTTTAATGAATTCCATCTTTAATCGAAAGATACTGATATCCTTAGCTAGAATCTGTCATTCTATATTTTCCTTCGGCCATGCTGTTTATTTAGCGTTTTCAGTTCGAATTCATTTTGAACATAGTGACACAAGATGTCCTTTTATTTTTGTAAACCTGGCAAGCTAATTGATACCTTGAATTTTTAGGTTTTTGAAGATACAGTCGAGCTTTGGATGTATTATCTGAAGATGCGTGATGATCTGACTCGTACTACGTTGCTCTCTCCTGCTCGTTGGTATACCGAAAAAGTGCTGCTTACGCATGTGGATAATATTCGGAAACGTAAACTGTTAGAAGAGGCAAAAGATGACGAGGAAAATAAAAAATCTGAGACTTTGGGGCCAAAAGCAGTCAGTTTTCTTGTATTTTTGAGAAAATTAAAGCTAGAAATTGACCAGTTCCAATTTCAAACGAAATTTAACTGAAAGTGGGATGGCAAGAGTTTCCTTCAGGCTTTTGGAAATTTTGACATTTTTGGTCAAATAATAATGAGATTATTCTTACCAGAACAACTGTATCTATAATACCCAATAATTAAAATCCCACCTAATGGTCGATCCTCTGGTCAGAACTTCCAGGTGCTTATCTGTCCACTCGAGTTATTGTAAGTGATAATAAGTGGTAAGTGGTCTGAATAACGAAGCCGTTAATTTATCTGACTTACTGATTTAACACTTTGTCTTAAGCTTTTTTTTTTTGAAAAAATGATGGAGGAAAAGAACGTGAGTAACGAAACCATTTGAATCCTTTGATGCAGTGAACCAAATTTTACCGAAAATCAAGTGACAGCTAAATAACTATTAGAAATTTTGTTAAAATTGTTACGTATTTTGAACAATGGTAATACAAAGGGTAGTGGGTCAAAAAAAAATTGATGTGGCTTGATGTTCGAAAGATTGAAAGGATAAGTTTTCGGGAAGAAATTATTTAACTAGGCAAGAAATAAGGCAGTGAAGAAATGATTGTTCAGGATGATGACATTGTCCTGGATTCAACTGGACAAGGTGGGGTCATTTATCGAGTAAATGATTATGCATATGTAGCACCAGCAAGTGAAGAGACAGTGTCACAACGGCATATTATGAGGATTGAAAGGTTGTATCGCGATAGTGATGGACAAACATTTGCACGTGGTACTTGGTGCTATCGACCGGAAGAGACGTTTCATTTAGCTACACGGAAATTTTGCGAAAATGTTTGTTTTGTTAGTTTATAATTGGAAATATTGGCTCGTTATGGCTGATTCAACATTTAGTTAAGTCCACGTTTTCGTTGCTCTCATATTAATTTTAATTATTTATATTTATATTTTTGGTATGTCACGAGTTTTTAGAGCGGTTTCTTCAGGAAGTGTTCCTTACGTCTTACTATGATACGGTAACGGTGGATCGCCTTATTGGAAAATGTCACGTCATGCCGGTTCGACAGTTTATGAGACAAAAACCAAAAGTATTCTCTTTGAAGATTTTGAACAAAGATAACCTGCTAGTGATGGTTTTTTGGTCAAAATTTTTCTGGGATTGAGATTCCAGGTCAAAATAGGAGTCCATTTTTTTTTTTTTTGTTTTTTGTTTCACATAATTCGAGAAAATTATGCTTCCGTGTTCTTCATCAAGAAAAGGGTAAACGTATTATACATATCTACATTGAACTGGATATCTGAGTAATGTATCTCTGAATATTAGCGTTCTTCTTTATTCGACCTTCCTTGATCCTTTTTGCCGTGAATATTCATATCATGCAAAAATTGTCAAATGAATAAACATCACCTTTAATATTTGGCAATGTATTTCTACTTTAGGGCTTTGACGATAGCGATATATATGTATGTGAATGCCGTTATATGGGCAGACAGCTTCATTTCAAGAAACTGAAAGTAAGTATCAGTGGCAACACTTTTGTATTTCACATAGTCTATATCAGCTTTTTTCTTTCAATTTTTCATTGTGGTTATTCATTTCGAAAACAGGTAACATATTCATATGTTGTTCCTTTTAGCACTGGCCATACCATCCGGAAGACGAGAAAGTAGAATATATAAAGCGAGAAAAACCGCTAACAATGATAAAACGTGTCACGTCAGTGTTTGCAAGCCGGAAAACATTCGAAACTCATCCGGGTGCGATGGTTGGCACAAACGATGATGTAACTTTTTGAAATTTCATGCAAAAGGAATTGTAGGCAATCGTAGCAATCTTGTCTATATGAGATATGAATTTGCTGTGTCATTGTAAAAGGACAGTTCTTTGCAAAATATTTTTGAAATGGAGTTAAATAAAGCGAGTACATTTCTTCTGGAAATCGAAATTTCTATGCTGTTATGTATTGTTCAATTAATTGATCAATCATTTCATGATTGTCCCACAAGTGTTTTTATGACCGTGATAATTGAAAATATAGTTCTGAGAAAGTGTAATCCTCATAAATTTTCCTTTCTTTAGGAATCAGTTGATTCAATTTCATCTTTGGAAGACGATCGTTTGAAGAAATTACCTGTAGTTTTGGAAAAGGAAAGAGTGGAAGTTGTATGTAGCGGTAAGGTTTTTTTTGGTAATTTGTGGTTATTTCTAATTAATATTTTAAGGTTTTATAACAAAATATTTGTTAGTCTTGTTGACTGTTATTCTCGAAACTATTTTATACTTCGAGAATCTGACAGGCTCAATAACATTTTGGGAAGGATGAAATATGTTTTGTGGTTCTATATATTATCAGGAAATAAGTTGCTTTCTTCTGCTTAGGGTTGAAAGTGTGGCATTCAGCAGAAAGCCGTATACCAAAAAAAAAAAAAAAGAAAAGAAAGTTGATATTGCAAGTAACTGTTTATTTTTAACATAAAGATGAACTTCTTTCAAAAAGAATTACTCAGAGCTAGAAATTTCTTCTGATTTAACTGTTATACCATAATATTTAATTGTTTCTTCACATAACACCTCGTCTTTAATCTGTAATTTTTTTCTTTTCATTTGTAATTTCAAATTTGTCTGGAATCAAGTCCGATATATAATTTAATTTTCACTATGCAGCGAGTGAAAAACAAATTTATCTTTAGGTAATTAAATTTCATATTTTGGGATATGTGTCAGAAAAAAATTCTTATCAGGAATGGCCATGGGAGACCAAGATCTGCCCATTCCTGTTGTTTCATGATATCATGGTAAAATGTCGTAATTAGTCATCGGCTAAGAAAGTTTTCGTATCCTAATTATTCATCGGTAAGAGACTAATTTTACCATAACTGCAACATCTTTCTCAATTTTTTGGGTTTTAGATGTACCAGAAGTTGCCAATAAATCGATGATCTTTTACGAACAAATGCAGTACAACGATCGTTGGTATCGGTTAGGAGATTTTGTATATGTATATAATCCGTTGAAAAATCGAAATGCAATACTACGGGTCGATAAATTGTGGAAAACAGTTGAGTAAGTGATTACTTTTTTATCGCCAAGTTCAGCATAAGCTGTTATTTTGTGCAGGGCTTGATAAAGAGCTTCTAAATTTTTTTTCCTAGCTTTTAAGTTTATTTTTGGAATATCTTAAAAATTTTTTAGGGGTGATGGATTTTTCTCTGGGCCATATTTTGCACGACCTCGTGAAATCAAGCACGAACCGGCACGGCTGTTCTATAAGCAAGAAGTGTTTGCCGTCGATCAGCCGGATATAACTATCCCATTGGAAAATGTTCAAGGATTTTGTGCAGTTATGTCCGTTAAAGAATACACCAAAGGTTACCATGCATTTAAATACTTAATTCATGGAGTGATTACATGTTACATTTCTACTAACTTTCATTTGCTATTTAACTAACTGGGAATGTAGAGAGTTTGCTTTGGAAATGGTGCGATAAGCTAGTCAGATCAGAGATAGTATAATGCTACCTGATGCTTGAACATATTGTGAAGATTTCTCTGTTCATAAAAATCCCCATTATCAAATTGTTCATGACTTTAAGATATGAACTTTAGGCTGCAAAGAATTTAATGTTAATTTCTGAAACTAAACACATTAAAACTTAAAGCCCTAAAGAGTACAAGACTTTTCCGATTTCTGCAGTTATCACTCAAATTTTCTTTTGGGACATCTAAACATATAAATTGACAAGAATTGAAATATTATTTGTTTTAGAACCTTAAGTTTTTTTAAAATTGTTTCTAAGTGTCTATTTTATTTCCAAGTATCTATTAATTCCTAGTTATTTTCTTTTTAGGACGACCAACGGAAATTGATGAATCTGATGTGTACGTTGTGGAAAGTAAAGTACGAGGTTACGAAGATGGTGGAAAACGATGCAGTTTAACAGGTTGTAAACCATCGTACTATAAAAATGTTACAAATGATACAAATGACTGTACAATAGTATCGACAAATGAGCAAAAGGCATCATTAAAAGGTGATATGGATCAATTGCCGTCAACCGTAAAAACGAAGACGGAAGATTTCCATTCGAATGTCCCATCCACTTCGAAAAGTATTGTCGAACAGCCTGGTGCTATCAGTAAATTGGGAATTGTATCGGCTTCCTTTTCAAGTATTTCGGTAGATGATGACAGTAGCAGTGGGTCAAATCAGGCTCCAGGCAACATACGTAACACGCCTACATCCATTGACCAAGAAGAACCGATGAACGATGCACATGCCAAAAAACTGAAGCACTCCTTAAAGGTGGGTTATTCAATTCTAAGTACGAATTCGCATCTTCACATGTTTATCTCTTCTGTGAAATCTTTTGGATTTTTCTCCAAAACAATCGAAGGCTTTTCATGAATATAGGATATAGGACGGTTAGCGTGGTGAGTTCATTTGACTGATGCTTAATCGCATGATGTACCGCGTCTAATTTCTGGATAGTTCCGGGAGTGATGAGAGATGGAACTAGTTTGAGTAAATAGATTTTGTTAATTTTCCGATTTCATATCAATGTTATTTCAAATTAATTGCAGCATTCATTGATTTAAATTGAAGATTCTTGAAACTAACACTCTGTATTAGGCCATAGTTTTTTACTTACTATATCTTTTCATCAAATATGCTACCGTGCTCTTCCATATATAGTTTTATCGAGACTTGACTTTTGTATCGGACAGGTAATTCCGCAGGGAGAATATGCAATAATGACAATAGCGCAATAATGACAATAGCGCAGAAATGTCAAATTCTTTTGCCAAGAACCAGGCTATCAGCAGTATTGCAGTTTCATATAGATGGGCAATTGTTTGAAATGTTACAATTCGAGTGTGGAGCGCGCGCTTGTTACGAACAATTCAACGGAAATTGGAAATGAGAGGGGAAAGAGAGATAGAGCGAATTTATGGGGATGAGTGTGTATATACATGTGCCTCTTTGTGTGATGTGGGAAAATGATGCGGGAAGGGAGAAGGGTTAATGAATGTTGGGCAAATTAGTACCTCTGACTATGCACATATACTCAACGTTGGCCGGATCGATATTGTTCATTAAATAGAGTACTTGGAGATGATGATAAGGCTGCGTGTGGTACTTACAGGATGACCTAAATTGAAACGTTTGATACGAAGCAAATCATTTATGGTGTCATTAGCATGTTGTGCTAAAGTTTGCAGATGCGAAAAGGAAGGTGATGAAGTTCTGAAACACACACATGGCAAATTTTCAGAACATTGTTAGCAGAAGATATGGAAGGAGAGAAGAAGGTGGAGGAAAAGGGCTGATGATGTTGACGGGTCGTTTAATCGACAGAAGAAATTTTGTCATATGGAGAGAGGGAGAGAGAGAGAAAGGGAAGGGTAGGAAAGGATGCAATTGACGAGACATGATGCAGGTGAAGAGATACACAAGTAAAAGTTAAAATTAATTTTTTCTCTCTGTTAGGAAGGAGATCTCTGTGGGTTCTCTCTCTTCTTCACAGAGAGCATAAAGGCAAAGAGTTGGGAAGGGTACGTTGTTAACAATGCAACAACTATCGACGATGTCCCGGCACATCATCGCAACGCACCCGCATACACATACACACATACATATACACATCTATACACGAGGCCTTCCTGGTGGTGATATGATTGGTGGGGGGGGGAGGGGGGAGGAGGAGGGGGAGAGGTACGTTGTGTCCACAGCATTTCGTGTATTGCCTTGAGGACGAGCCTATCCTTTTGTTTAGTGGAAAGTACTCAGGCTTGTCTGCCTGTTTGTGTGTATGTGTGTGCTTCCATACACATACGCACACACGATGGATAGGAGTAGGATAGTGATGTTAACGGGTGTTGTTGACGTTGACGCATAACCGAATCAACCGATGATATGCGACCAAAGATGTTGTTGACGGTCTAGGTTAACTTGTTAGGTGCGCATCTAACAGAACCGTTGCTACCAATGCTACCATCGCTACCACTACAACCACCACCACATCACCACTACCACTGCCTACAACCAACAGCTGAAGCGATATCTGGATGAACTGCGGCAGAGTCGCCTTCATCTTCAAGCTTACCCGTTCCCTTCCCCCGCCATACTCTTCCCACTCCCCCTGCCTTCCTCCCACTACTACAACTATCACTGGCAAGAGTAGAAGGAGCAGCAACCTTTTCCATGCGACACGACAGCACTTTGTAAATCAGCGAGCCGGGCAGTAAGCAATGGCAACAATAACAACAACAACAACAACAACAACAACAACAGCAATAGTAGTAGTAGCGTTGGTAGCTGCACTCAGTGGGTTACTAGCTTTCAGCACCGTGACCTGTAACAGATGCTACCAGTAAGTAATACTGCTCTAGCATCCTTGTTGTTTTCGTCGTCATTGTCATCATCACTGCTGGACTAAATAACTAAATACGATGGCTGTTGCTGTAACTGCAGCTATCTTGTGTCACATATTGCCATAGCTTCTCTGAATGCACATATGTCATGTGTATAAGTGTGTGAGTGGGCGTCTTGTTTTTTTCTTTTTTTTTAATAGTTTTAGAGTTGCCTACTTATGGATTCGAAAACCTTTTTTTTTTTTTTCTTTTTTCTTTTGATCATGTTTAATAAAGCAGTACAGTAGTGGTTGCTGAAACATTATTCTCGGTACAGTTGTAATGGAGAATGCGATGGTTACTGTGGAATGTTGGTAGCATGTAGTTTAGGTGTAAGTGTATATGCGGATATTACTTCAGAATAAAATATGAATGTTTGTTATTTCTTGCTATTATGCACTGCAAAGTACTAGCAATACCGGAAATACAATTATAGTGCAGTGAAGCATTTGATAATGATGGTATGTTGATGATGATGATGAGTAACATAGAACAAAATGTAGAGTAGTTGGTGAGATATGGTGTTCACATGGTAGGCAAGTTTACTGATTGAAAAGTAATAATTAACTGATGAGTTTGCATGTTACGTATTGTTTGAGGATAATGTATGAGGTTATGGTAATTAGAGAGTGTAAAGGGATGTTCAATGAATGAAATATATCACAAGATGAATGTATAAATAATAAATCATTCGAATTAAGCTAAAAGACAAATTCTATCTTCTTTTTTCTCTTCTAATCATATCTTTGATATTGTTAAATCGCTTCAAAACTTTCCCTCTTGCATCGTTACAAATGCATTTAACATGACGAGATGATGATGATTACTTTACTTATTTTAACATTAGCAAATAGAGGATGTTTTCTTATGCGCTTTATGTATATCGTTTTAAAAAATGGAGGAATTTTAATGTCATCTTTTCAGACTTACAACTTATCATCGGAAGTCCTGGAACCGGAAATTTACTATTTCAAAACTCCAATCACTATGGAAAAGGTTTGTTAGTTTTTAAGGATTTGCTCTGTGCGTTTATTAAATTAAGGGAGGAAGAGAATATTTCGATTGAGGAATTTTTATTATGTATTGTATCATTTCTCATCCACATTGATATACCAGTTGCCGAAAATTTTGTTGGAAAATTCAAATGCTTCCAGAAAATTCAAAAGTTTAACTTATGGTTTTTAGAGAAATTGAATAGTCATGTTAGGTGTTTCTTATAGGAATAAGTGAATGGTGTAAAACCGTGCTAGTGTAAATCGGACGGTAGAACGTCGTGTCGTATGGGTGAATGTGTTTTTGAGTGAAAGTGGATATTGATGTCAACTCCAAATATTAGATTAAATTTGTATCCAAGCATTTTCAAAGACTTTTTAAAGATTATTTAAATAATATTGGATGTTGCTTAGGAAGACGAAGTATCTACATTGAATTCTGTTTTGTTAAATTAGTGCATGATAAGTATTGAGTGGCCAAATAACATCACTTATGCAATTACAGTAACTTGTTTGATTAAATCTCCTTTTGTAAGCGGTTGTGAAATTTCAATCTCGATCACTTCATTCATCACTTATGTTACTTCAGCAATTATGCCAAGAGAAGGAATAAGTATAATAATTGGTGGTCATCGAACCTAGTGACCCAATTCATCTCGAACTTCCTCTTCCTCTTCAGAGAAGTTCAGAAAATTACAGGAAAAGTTCCTCTTGCTAATAAGCTCTCATCTCCTTCCTCTTTTTCTAGACTCTTAACTCTCCTGCCATATTATCCCGCCTAGTTTAGTATTACCATTGCTTATATCAGCTTACTGTTTCTCTCAATGATTTGCTTCTTCCAGCTCTTAGAAAAAATAACAAAGTGGCGCTACATATACGCATATATATAT